CTCTGTCAAATAAGGAAATAAAATCTTAAAAAAAAAATAAGGTAAAGGAAAAAAAATCAACCAGAGGAAGGAAAAATATACTTTGTGGTGACTCTTTTTGTGAAATTGATAAATGCTTTTAAAAAACAAAATATTTTTACAGTCTAAAAATAGAATTTTATACAAATTTGTAATCTAAAATACCTATATTCAGATGTTCACACATCTTGCTTTCTTAAGAGAAAAAACACACTCATATGCAATAGAATGGTAAGATGATGAGCAATTCTGGTAGCAGTGATAAATAAATAGTCAGACCACCCATACCCCTTTCAACTTTAATTATAAATATCACCTTAATTGGTGCCAAAAGATTTTGCCTCACTGGTATTCTCTGTGAATGACGCTTCCTGGATGCTCAAGTTTTCCGTATATTTGAAAATTCTTTATAATTAACAAAGCTTTTGAAAGTTTGTAATGCATGTGAATTAAAATACTCTAAAATCCTTCCTCCAACTTTTGAAGCTGATCATACTGTTACTAGACTTTTGGGGGAGGGTTATGGTCGCCATTTTGAGTTGATGGCCACCACGTGCTCCAAGGTGGTGGTATCAGAGCACTGTAGGGAGGGTGGATGGCTGCTGCACTCTGAGTGTGACCTTCTGGCCTCAGTGCCTCTTGGATGTTGACTCATCTTGTCGACTCCTCATTGGCAAGCTGTCAGTGTCAATTTTCACTGCTGTCTGTAGATCTGATTGGCAGGACTGATCCTGCCAAAATTCTCTTCAAATGCCTTCCTTTCGGTCAGTTAACCAAGCTTTATCAAATTTTATATAAAAGCCATAAGTGAAGGCCTGAGACCTCTTCTCTAAGTGGTGTTTTGGTCCTCAGAGACCATTTCTTCCTTCCTTCCTTTCTCTCTTCCTCCCTCCCTCCCTTTTTTCCTTCCTTCTTTCCTTCCTTTCCTCCCTTCCTTCCTTCCTTCTTTTTTCTTTCTTTCTTTCTGATAGTGCTCATGTATATTACGGATATATGAAGTTTCCAGGTATTTGAGTTATAGACAATTGAGACTGTACTTAAAAAACAATAAATATAAATAAATAAATAAATAAATAAATAAATAAAACAATAAATCTGGCAGACACACATTCCTTTGCTTACAAATAAGCAGGTGTTAGGGAGTAAAATGATGAAAAGTAAAGTAGATCACAAAATCTGTTCTGGAAATAGGTACAACTTCCAGTAGTATTTTGCCTCAGGCCTTATGGATGGACCAGTCTCTGTGCATGGAATGTTCTTCTAACCCCAGAATGCCCATGGCTCACTCGTCCTTCAAGTCTGTTCAAATGTCACCTTCTTTTTTTTTTTTTTTTTTAAGATTTTATTTATTTATTTGACAGAGA